AACTGCCACCCATTCCACCCTTGGTGGTACGAACATAGGAACTCTGACAGCGCCCATCACTGGGCAGGCACACATCCGAGGCAGAAAGCATCTGAGGAGTCCTTTGAGGTCTTCTCTTTGACCTTCACCTTTCCCTTCTAGTTGCTCCTGTGTACTAATAGGGACCCTAAAACAGTATTTAATGTGTTTACTATTCTGAGGGCTCTTACTGCCCTCAGCCTTCTATTTATTTTTTATTTTTTTTTTCAGCCTTCTATTTAAAGGACACCTCTGAAGATGTTCCTGGAATTGGAGTATTCTTAGAGCTGGGAACCTCAGATGCCATTTGGATAAACCCTGTATTTTACGGGCCAGAAAGCTTAATTCTGTAACTATTAAGATGCCAGTCCAGGGCTCCTCAGCTGATATAGGGACAGTGCCAGAACAGGGCAGCTTGGATCCAAGTGCACATTCTCCCCACTATGCCACTTTGCCACTCACGATGTGGCCATGGTATGGCGTGACACCTAAAACCAAAATTTTGAAGGATTTCTCAATTAATTATTTAAATAAAATGGATTTATTTTAACTCCCACTACTATAGCATTAAAAAGAGCTTAAACCACTTGATAAATAAATGGTAGCTAAAGTCACCGCTTGATGGATAATCACATTTTCTCATTTGCAGTTTAAGTGCTAGAAGACAAAGTGACTTTAAAACTGGTCTTGAGAGGACCCAATTATCTGATAAGCACTTCCAAAGACCAGACACACAAATGCAGAAACAGACCTCTTTATGAATGGTGCCTGACAAAGAAAGAGATATTTGTGGCATAGGAGCTCTGGAAAATGTAATTATTTATCCTTTGACAATTAATGAAAGAAATTGAAAATGAAGCTTTCATTTCAAATCCTTTTTATCTGGATGAAACTTTAATTTTACATAATTAAATTGACTTCACAGTTCAGTGTGTTAAAATATGCAATTAAGCAGCATATCGAGGTTAAATGCCTACTGTCGTTGGCTCATTTAGAAATCACGCTGTTCAACTCCCAAACAATAGCTGCCCAGCCACCATTGTCCCCGCAGCCAGGGATGGCGCACAGCCCGCGGGCTGGTCCCCCAAACTCAGAGCAGGCAGTTGAGTTTTCTTTGCATGTGCCAACTCCTAGATAAAGTTAGTTGGATCTTTAACGAGGTTTTCACTTCTCTTTGTTTTCCAGTGGAGCTTCGTGTTTTGGCATGAAAAAATATTCTAGCACTTTTGATGGAGTGCTGTAGATGATTAACTTTATCTCTTACATAGGTTTCCTCCAAGACAACACTTGCCATCTCCGAAGTGGTTGCCTTTTGTTTGTTGAAAGTATGTTAAAATTCCTTTATTTTAATTTTCCTTTTTCAACACTTTATGATAAATTTCAGAGGAGACCTCTTTCAAATGATCTTTGCACTCTCAGAAAGGAGAGACTTAAGAAATGTTGTGGGAGGCATTGGAGGGGGACCCGAAATGAGGATTGGGGTGAGTTCACTGGAAAGGTATCGTGGGAGGTAGCAGTCTGAAGAGGTGGAGACTTTTATCTTCGTACCACCCCCCTTGTTTTCTCTTTGAATAGCACCTTTGTGATGATTAATTTATATGCTCAGTAGTATCTTATATTCCCTTTCATCTGAAGACTCTGAGTGGAACACAGTTCAACAATTAGAACTGAGTTTTTTCCCTTTCTCTGATATATTTTAGAATTCGTGCAACAGTGATTTTTGTTTTATCCATTAGGGTGGTTGTGGGAAGTACTCATGGATCTAAGCAACAACATCCTTGCTGTAATGACACACAGAAAACCTGAATCTAAATGGCAGCTTTTCCAGATAAACAGGGAAGTGTGTTGCTGCTGGATTAATTACCATAGCCACAAAAAGAACAAATGATCATGACATGAAACTGACCACTCAGGAAGAACTTCTTTGAATTGGGATGTTATGCTACAACTGCAGGCTTATTCTCCCCACAATGCTCCTGCTATTTATTATAAGGTGATAACTGGCAGACCATAAAACTGGAAGAAGATTGTAAAAGACACTGCAGTGTGTATAGTGATATACACTGTATAGTGACACAATCTATATCAGAAGGTATGTATGCTTTATTCTTTAGAGCCAAGGCTTGAGATATGGCATTGCCTTCTTCCATGACACCAGAAGGCTCCATGGGATTAATAAATTCTTCCAAAATTCTGAGCCAGCACTAGATTTCCCTGTCTCACTGCATCACCCTAGAACCAAAAGTAGGCCTTGGCCACTATAGGCCATCTCGGTAGTTTTATCAGAAAAAAATTAATAGTGAAAAACAATGTTTTAATAAGTGAAAAGTTATATTAATGCATCCATGCAAATTGTAAAATCACTCATTTATACATAATCAATTTCAAAATGACAAATAATTCTTATCTTTTTGTTAAGCCCAATCTCTCTTCCCTTAGGACCTACAGAAGATAACATCGATGGCATTTTGTTTTGGTTATTACAATGTACCTGAAAGCCATACTGTTTAGCGAAACTGTGCTCACACACACAACATAAAAAATCACTGATTTTTCTTTCCTCAAACAATCTGACTTTGGAAGTGTCAACATTGAACAAGTGTTGACGTAATATCAAACAATAAGAGGCTACTTTGTGTTGCAACCGTCAATCTTGTACCACTTCTCAGAAACATGCAGGTTTGATTAAGTTTTGCACAAGGCATAGAAATCCTAGTCTGATTTTACATAGACTCTATTATATGAGTGTCTGACATGCTGCATAGTAGAGCTGTTCACATCTTCTCAGAGTCTCAGATTAAAGACTTTCTATTGAGAAATAAAAATGTGGCACAACTGCTATGTTTCATCACATGTGGCTCTCTGCTGCTTTAATGGATCTATCTGGTTTGATACAGATGACCTGCTACTGATTTTGATAACTTAGAACAACATGGAACTTAGAACAACTATGGTGACACATGCAAATGGAGAAGACGATGAACACAGCATAATCATACAAAGATAATCCCTAAACCTTATACTGGCCTCTTAACCTTCTTTCTTGTTAAACATTTTACCAAGGTGTTGCTAATATATCACTGAGTGCACATGATGCTTTCTTTAATGAAGACCTAGACAGAAAGGATCAAACATCAACATTTAACTAAATCAGTCAGAAGAGGAGACTCATTATGTAAACTGTAGGGCATTATTCTATGAACCTGGCTGCTACTTTCTGAAGCGTGAATTTAAGCGAATTGTCACTTTTACATGTGAGTATGAGTTAGAATTCTCAATCGCCAAGTTATTATCCTGCTTTTCTTATCTCTTGTATTTTGCTGAAAATTTTTCTGTTTTGTGGTCAAAGGATGTCTGGAAAGTTAAAGGTTATCAATATATTTTGAACTGTATGGGGAAAAAGTAGCATTCTGGTCCATTATTAGGTGTTGGTGGAAATCAAGCATTTGCAGGACAAAGTGGTCTTGCCTTAAATTCATCCTTTTGGGAAAGGTAACTTGTTCTAGTATTTAGCTATTTTTATTTGAAGTGAAATTAACTGGGCAGAGATCTGTATACATCTAATAACCCCAAAGGCAACAGACAAGGGTGCCTAATTAATGAGTGCAAGTGTGAAAGCACTACATCTGTAACATAAATAAAGGTGTAATTATCTTCAAGGCATTTTTTATCTAAAAAGGGTAACTCTGGGAGGGAGGCAGTTTTGTTTTTGGAAGTTTCAGCATCACTCCCATATGAAAGGTTATTTTTGTGTTTAGAATACTTTTAATAGAACTAAGTAAACTAATCTGTGTTCTGTCTATAAATCAAGGAGATAAAATGTTCGTGGATGACTGCCGCTCTCCTGGGCTGCTCAGTTTTATGTCTTTACAGTTGATAGTTTACCCGCCTAAACAGTGTGGTCCAAATATAAAGCTTGCTATGCTGTTATTACATGTGACATTGATGTAAACACTAATGTGTGCTTATATTACCTGTTGAAGCAGTAAACGTTTTTTGAAATTAGCACCTACTTGAAATAATAAGCTAAATCTCATAACTCAAGGATGGATTTAGTTCCCAATTACGAATAAAAGCTAGAAGAAGGAGCCACTGATGTAAACCCAAATAATTAGAGATAACAAAAAGATAAAGCAGTTAAATGAATCTAAGGGTATAACAAAACAGAGACATTACAATTCTATACCCCTAAATTGGTTTAGAAATCTGGAAAAAAATTAAAAGATTCATATTCTGTAATGACTTGCGACCTCTTACTCGCCCACTATAATATATGCACGTATCATTTACTAGTCAGTGTCCTATTTTCCATCCTAGTTTCTTTGTGTTTCAGAGGCAGTTTCCCTTTGAAAAGAAATCTGAGGACTTTTGATGACCCAGATAACACATTTAAAATTCAACTAATGAGATAACTACTGCAATTTCTCACTGTAACTGTTTGGGGCCAGTGTTACTATCTCTTTCTGAGAAGTTGAGTCTGAATTCAAATAAAAGCATTGTGAGTAGCTTAATGACGATGTTTATAGATGATTTCAGAGATTCTCCAGGCATTTATTTCACCCTAAAAAGTAGCTGAATACATGGAGAGGAAGCATTTTCTATTCATCCAAATAGCCGCCCCCTGGCCCTCAAGTTATATCATAGACAATAAGTTCCTGATGGCAAACCTGAAATCAGAGGAGTAAGGAAGAAACTGGAAAAAATGCATTAAAATAATAATAGCGGACTCAGGAAGCCTCAGAAAGGTATGAAAGCCCCCAAGACAACAGACAAGTCAGTGCCTCAGAAAGGTAAGTAATTGTAATACCATAATTGAGTAAACTTCTTGAGTTGAGTCTGGGAGAAAGTCTGTAAACTAGACAGTGTTAAAAGATGCAGCCAATGAGAGCCACAGGGAAGCACTAGAACTCAATGGGAAAGAAAGAAGAGTACCATTTTTGTGCTTGAGGCATCCAGGGAAGGGTTCCCTAAAGCCATCTTACCTTTGTTTTCTGCCTTCAGTTCCTCTGCCATCAAGCTGTCTTGTCGGTTTCCAAGCACAAATGCTAGAAACGAGAGGATCAGGGCATCCAAAATCCCAATAATAGCCAAGATGTACGCCCAGCGGACTGAACAAGCTCCAAGCGTGTACTTGTCTGTCTTTTCTCCACACATCCGTTTTACCTCATCCGAATCCCAGCCGTCTGGGAAAATCATACAGCCAAGCACAAGGCAGGCAGCTGGGAGAGAGAAAGAGGAAAACAAAAGAAAAAAGGAGAAGTTAACACGTTGTGTTTTAGCAAATGTTTCTATTGTTTGTCAAATCGCTGTTTCAAATTCTGCTGGATGTAAAGAACAGCAGATCTCACCACTGTCTCATTCTAAGTGTGTGTGTGTGGTTTTCTTGTTAACTTAAAAGCGCCTGCACTCTGCAGTGAAAGGAATTCTGGGAATGCACTTCACAGTGATCCCAAGAATCCCGAGAAAAGTTAAATAAATTGATCTATAAGAAAATATTAAGAAATTGAACCTCCATGTGTGCTTGTAGGAAGGCATCCATTGCAAATAGGCCATTAAGAAACCATATACTGTGGAATAACAATTCAAGGCTGGCTTTTAAGAGCTATGACAGCAGCCAGAACATGTATTAGGATAACATGGAAAACACTACAGTGTATACTGACTTTGAATCACTGTAAACAATAATTTTACATTGCAATATCCCCCTTTCCCACACAGAGAAAAGTTTCCTCTTCTTCTTTTCTGCTGGGTGCAGGTGTGGAGAAAGGGGAATGTAAATTAGTATAGCCACCATGGAAAACAGTATGGCATTAAATCAAAATATTGAAAAAAGAACTACTATATGATCTAGCAATCCCATTACTGGGTATATGTCCAAAGGAAATGAAATCAATAAGTCAAAGAGATATTGGTGCTCCCATTTTTATTGTAGCACTATTCAAAATAGCCAAGAATTGGAATCAACCTAATGTCCATTGACAGATGAATGGATAAAGGAAATGTGACGTTATAAAGAAATACTATTCAGCCACTAAAAAGAATGAAATCCTGTCATTTGCAGCAACATGGACAAACCTGTAGGACATGATGTCAAGTGAAATAAGCCAGGAACAGAAAGACAAATACCACATGATCCCACCATATGTGGAATCTAAAGGAGTTCATCTCATAGAAGTAAAGAGTTGATGAGTAGTTACCAGAGGCAGGGGAGGGAGTGGGGAAGAGGGATAGGTAGAGACTGGTTAATGGGTACAAAGTTACAGTTTAATAGAGGAATAAGTTCTAGAGTTCTATTACACTGTAGTGTGACTATGATTAACAGTATTGTGTTATATATTTAAAAATAGCTAGAAGAGAGGATTTTGAATGTTTTCACCACAAGAAATGATAAATTTACATGGTAATGAATATGCTAAATACCCCAATTCAATTTTTTCACAATGTATATATAATATGTATTGAAGCATCACATTGCACCCCATAAATATGTACAATTATTATGTGTCAACAAAAAAGAGAGAAAAGTTTCTTGAAGGGATACTTATCATATGCAAGGAATGCTAATATTTTCCATTCTGTTCTCCATTTGATTTCATTTTTAAAAAGGCTGAAAAACACTGCAATACACTGTGGTACCATAAATCTTTTATGGAAATTAAGAATATTATATTCATGTGGAAACTATATGAATACTTTTTATAGGACTATGTTACTTTGAAAATTCAAAATGGTAAGTAGCTACTGTTGCCACATTTTATATTTAATTAGATTATTTAGGGGAAATGATTATATTTTTAGGTTAGACAGAGCTTTTTGAACAGGTGGGTTCATTCATTTACTCATTCATTCAACAACTGCTTATTGAATATCTCCTATGAGTATTTCCTGTTCTTGATGTCAGCGATACAGTGATCAAGAAAAGAGACATGGTTTATGTTATCACGGAGCTTATGTTTTGCCAGGAAAAGAGGCAGAAAAATGAGTAAGCAAATAAATAAAATAGTTGTAAGCTGTAATAAATGCTACATAGAAAAGAAGCTAAGGGCTCAGACGGAATAAAGAGCAGACCTTCTTTAGAAAGGGTGGTTAGGTAAGGCCTCCTGAGAGGATGACACTTAAGCTAAGGCCCAAAATAGACAAAAAACTAGACATGTGAAATTGGTGGGAAAGATGCTCCAGGGAACAGCACATGCAAAGGTCCTGGGGTTGGGAAAAGGCTTGCCATGTTTGAAGAGCTATACGGAGATCAGTAACTGTGTTGGAGACAGTGATCACGTTGAGGTTGGGTGGTTGGCAAGGGCTATACATCCTGCCAGGTTACTGTTTCCAGGGTATGCAACTTAGGAAGATTATTATGCCCCAACCAAATTAGTTCTGTGATTATCGGGGACAAGTAATTCCTGAAGATGGCAACACGAGTTGCCATATAACTCTTGCTTCACCATAGCCGTGTTCTGTCTGAACAAGACAGAAATGGACACCTGCCTTCTTTTTCAGCAGGTACACGGCTCTACAGAGCAGGTTTGAAGGAAACAGAGACCAAGAGGGGTGACAAGTAGAAAGACTGCCTGGGAGGGCTCTGCTTTAGAGTTCTATGTTATTTTATAGAATGAGAGTTCAGAACTTCAGCTCATACTTGATTCCTCTCTTTTCTTTGTCCCACAGCCCAACTGTTGCCATCCTTCTTTTATCCACCTGTGCAGTGTTTCTGCATAGATAGATAGGTATTATTAACACGTCCCTACTTAGGCCTTCGTTATCTCTTGAACGGAGCCCTAGCTTCCATTTGCCTTCAGTTTGCCCTCACTCTAATCCAGATTACACCTTACTGCTTAGAACAGAACACTCAAAAAGTTTTGCTGGTTCACTACTAGGTGTTGAAGAACAGGCAGGCATCTTAGTCGGTTATTCACAAGCTCCAGAATCCAGTCCCTACAGACTTTTCCAGTCTCCATCCCTTTTATTTATTTATTTATTTTTTTGATTTTCTTTTTTTTTCTTTTTCTTTTGGCATATTATGGGGGTACAAATTTTAAGGTTTCAATAAATGCTCTTCCCCCCCACCCCCCACAAGTCTGAGTTTCAAGCATGACCATCCCCCAGATGGTGCACATCTCACTTATTATGTATGTATATACCCACCCCCCTCCCCCCTCCCACCTGCCCAATACCCTATTACTGTAGTACCTATGTGTCCACTTTTAGGTGTTGCATCAGTTAACAGTCTGATGTGGTATAGTTTGAGATGCATGTTTTTTTCATTCTCCATCATTTTACTTCTCTATATTTACTTGGGAGATCACATGATCCAAGGTTTTGGATCATCCTCTGTTTTCTTTCTGCCGTTGAGAGTATTGCCTACGACTGTCCCCTAAATGTTCCCTGTTATTACATATGTTTTAACACTCCAAGTCCATACGCAACATGCACCCAGAAACACAAAAGACACAGCTGAACATCTCAAATTCTTTCTTAACCGTTTAGGAATATTCCCCTTCTCGAACTTCATATTGTGACTATATTAGCTTAGGGTCCTCATGTTTTTACATGCTTTGTTTATTACTTAAACTATTATCTCAACTAGCAAACTATAAGCTTTCTGAGGAAAGAATCTTTGTGAGCCATAATATTCATAGCATTTAAGCAGTGCCTTGTACATAGTAGCACTAACATAAATTTGAATGGAAAATGAATGATTTAATGAATTATAATACTAGACAAATACTCTAAAATATAGCTCACGGAGGTCAAAATTAAATCACCCAAGATCACAAATCTAATTAAAGATGTGTTCAATTAGGGAAATGTAACAGAGATAGATTTGTTAGACTAGGCAACAAATTACAAGTACTTGGGAGGGTAATTTTAAGAAGTGAAGTTATAATTTAAAATATTTTCAAATCCCTATTCCCTCTGTATTTCCCAGCAGTTAGTACCCAACATGTTTTCTAAGGCATTCTCTGATGCTAACTCTGTGTATTTTAAAAACATGTGTGAATAAAAAACAAAAACAAAACAAAACAACAAAATGTGGGTTTCCAATGAGCAAAAATTCATTTTATTTGAGGAGGACGTGTAAGATCTTTGAATTCAAACTCTAGTTCAACAAAAAAACCTCTAAGATTACTTGGAAATATTTAAAAAATATGGAACCAAAGAAGACCTCGAATATCAAGAGCAATTCTAGGCAACAAAAACAAATGGGAGGCATTATATGCAGATATCAAACTATACAACAAAGCTGTTGTAATTAAAATATGATTGGCACAAAAATAGGAATATGACCAGTGGAACAGATGGAAAATCCTGATAATAAACCATCCTCATATAGCCATCTAATCTTTGACAAAGCAGACAAAAATATACGCTGGGGAAAAGAATCCATTTTCAATAAATGGTGCTGGGAAAACTGGATAGCCACCTGTAGAAGCTAAAGGACCACACTTTTCACCTCTCACAAAAATCAACTCATGCTGGATAACAGACTTAAACTTAGGTATGAAACTATTAGAATTCTAGAGGAAAATGTTGGAAACACTCTCCTAGACATCGGCCTAGGCAAGAGTTTATGAATAAGTCCCAAAGGCAATCACACAGCAACAAAAATAAATAAATGGACTGATCAAACTACAAGCTTCTGCACAGCCAAAGAAAACGTCTGAAAGTAACAGACAACTACAGAATGGAGAAATTTTGCATCTATGTATCCGATAAAGGGCTGATAACTAGAATATTAGAACTCACGAAAATCAGTCAAGAAAATATCAAATAACCCTATTAAAAAGTGGCAAAGGACTTGAACAGAACTTTTCTAAAGAAGACAGAAGAATGGCCACAACATTATGAAAAAATGCTCAACATCCTCTATCTCAGGGAAATGCAAATCAAAACCACAATGAGATATCACTAACTCCAGTGAGATGGCCTTTATCAAAAGTCTCCCAATAACAAATGCTGGCGTGGATGTGGGAGAGAGAGGAACACTCTACACTGCTGGTGAACTGCAAACTAGTTTAACTCTGTGGAAAGCATATGGAGATACTTAAAGTGATACAAGTGAATCTACCATTTGCATCCGCAATCCATTGCTGGGCATACCCAAAGAAATCAATCACTCTACAAAAAGACACCTGCACTTGAATGTTTTAAGTAGCCAATTCATAATTGCAAGGCTGTGGAAACAGCCCAAGTGCCATTATCCAGAATGGTTATAAAATGG